ATTGGGGCTGACTGGTTAGCTCTGTTCTGTGATCAGAACATGGTGCTGATGACACCAAGGTCCAGGGTTCGATCCCTTTGCCAGCCATCTGCCAATAAAGAAGAAAAAGCATTTCATGAATGCCATGGGCACAGTCCCAACAGAGACCGAGGAGTGGGCTGTTCATTTTAAGCTGTGGTACTGCTATCTTTTCTGCCTCCTCAGTAAAGGACAGAGAAAAATCTCAGACAAGGAGACTAGATGCCTAAATCCCATTTGTGTTACTCCTTTTGTTATGTTTTTTCTGCAGCTAAGCAAAACATCCAGCTCCAAGAAAGTCACTTTTGGATTGAACAGAAACATGACTGCAGGTGAGTCAGGATGTGTTTTAGGAGACTTTCCTTCGGAGCAGGGCTTGGCTTCCTGAGGCAGCTCATGGTCCCTGTGGAGGCAGGACAGCTTCCACAGGCTATGGAGGGTCAGGGCTGTGAGGACTGTCTCCTTCCTTGCACATCCTAAGTCAGAAGCAAGCATCCCACTGGTTTCTCTTGTCCTCAGAGCTGTTAGTGGGGTGCCAGGAGCAGGTGAGGAGCAGATGTCCTGGGGCCTCTTGAGAGGTCACATAGCAAAGCCTGGAGATGGGAAAAGCCACTTTCTTGAGTGCCTTGCTAATTACTTCAGACCTTCTCACAAAGAGGCCATTTGAGATTCTAGTGGTACGAAAATTCAGAACCATCTTCTTCCCAGGAGGAGAGNGAGGCCATTTGAGATTCTAGTGGTACGAAAATTCAGAACCATCTTCTTCCCAGGAGGAGAGAGAGGAGGAGTGTGTCCCAGTCTTATTCGTTTTCATATTGTTGCCATCCATTTGTTTTTTCAAAGGAAACCCAAGTTTTTAGATTATAATGAGTTTAAGACCTGACTCTTTGGAGGGACCACAAGAGAGTGAGTGAGTGTGTGTGTTTGAAGAGGAGAGACTGTCTCAGGAGAAGCTGAGGAGCATGCCTCAGCTAACGCAGCCCTGCCTTTCAAGCTGGAGAAGACGGGAAGGGCGAGTCCTCCCCGAGGGGAAGACCCCTCCTACATCTCTGTGTTGCCAGATCGTCCCAGACATACATGCCACCTTCACTGATTGTCTGCAAACACCCCCACCCCAAGTTCATGCTCTCAGGACCCTCCTTTCCCCTCCAAGTGTGTCCAGGTGACCCTCAAGCACTTTCCTTGGAAGAGTACGCGGGGGTGTGTGAAGTGGCCTCGCTGCCTTTGTGTCCTCAGAGAACACTGACTCTGCTCTAGGCAGGGCTTTGTAGCAACACCTCCCTGTCCTGAGTGAGCGGGCCAGCAGCCAGCATCCTTGGGACCAGTAGCCAGCATCCTTGGGGCCAGCGGGGTTGAAGGGACAGCATTCATACCCAATTAATGTGGCCTTCCTTTCATTTGGGACAGAATTCAAGAAGACAGACAAGAGTATCTTGGTCAGTCCCACAGGCCCCTCCCGAGTGGCCTTCAACCCTGAGCAGCGGCCCCTCCACGGAGTGCTGAAGACCCCCACCAGCTCACCTGCCAGCACACCCCTGCTGACCAAGAAGCCCCTGACCGTTACCCCAAAGAGAAGGCCAACGGCCATGGATTTCTTCTGAGTATAGTAACAGAGTCCCTTTTTAAAGACTGCATTTGTACAGAATGTTCTACAAATTATAACTTAAAATGTGGGACCTTTTTTATTATTTTATAGATTCCCATCAATTGTGTATATCAGGTTCCAAATGCGAGCTGCAACTCTGCTGCTTCCTGTCCCTTCTGCTGGGGGCTGTGGCATCTTGGTCGAATCTTTGGCTACAAACATTGTGCTTGAGCTCTCGGGGATTTCACGTGTTTGGGTAACGTCAGTGATTCCTGTTAGTGTAAGAACTGAGACCTTGTATGAAGCCGAGGGGAGCACACTGAGGTGTAACTTCAGTAAATTGG